GCTGCTAACAAGTAAACACACGCACGTGCTCGGCTGTCTCCTGGCGGCTTATTTCTAGGGTCTGTTCCCTGAAGCGCCGCCGTGGGTGGGTCAGGCTTAGGGGCCACGTCACGCTGCCCACCTGCCCCGCGTGGGAAAGGCTCATCTCGGCTTCGGGCTTTGCCTTAAGTCGTCCTGCCCGGCTGTTAGCGAGGCGCCTGGGGGACCGAGCAGAACGGCTCCTCTCCATGATTCCCGCCAGCTGCCTGCAGCCGGTGCGACCATTGCTGTCCCCTCGCTCCCTCACCTGGCAGCGTGCCAACCCCGAAATGCGTGGACACCGGCGCCCCCAGGAGCCCCCCGGGGATGGCTGGCCCCTGTGGTGGCCGTGGGCTCACCCCTGTGCACCACCCACTCATGGCGGGGCTCTCGCTGCCTTTCAGCTCCCGGTTCTCCTGAAGGGAACGTCGGATGACGACGCGCCGTGTCCGGGCTACCTGTTCGAGGAGATCGCCAGTATCCTCCCCGTGTCCCCACGCAGGGCCCTGGGCTTCTGTCCTCGGCGGCCGGGGCCCTTTCAGGAGCCCAGGAGGCCCCCGGTGCCCGATGCTCCTGAAACGCGGGCCTGGGGTGGGTGCCTGCAGGGAGGGACCCTAAGCGGTTCGGTGACAGTGAGGCCGCGGTCAGCTCGCTCCTTCCCTAACCCGAGCGCCTTCCAGAAATCTCCCACGAGTCGCTGGGCAGCAGCCAGTGCCTCCTGGAGTACCTCCTGAACCGGCTGCACAGCGGCTCCGGCCGCGTGAAGCTCAAGGTGAGGCCCCAGCGGCCGCAGACCCTGGGGTCAGGTCAGGCCTGAGCTCACACCGTGGGTGGTGAGGCGGGAGGCAGCCGGGGTGCCCTCTGGGCCTGGCCCCGCCCCACGTGACCGTCCCCCCAGGTGCTGAAGATCATGCTGCACCTGTGTGCCCACGGCTCCTCCTCCTTCCTGCTCATCCTCAAGCGCAACCCAGCCTTCATCCAGGAAGCGGCAGGTACCAGCCCGGCCGAGTGCCTTAGCCCAGGGAGCCTTCCCGGGAGCCTGTGGGTTTCCCCTAAAGTCCCTGGGAACCGCTGAGGGGTTTTGAATTGGACCAGAACCCGTTCCTGTTCCCTCGGGATGGAGAGCGGGTTGAGGGAGGCGGTTAGGTGGCAGGTGAGGGGCGCAGGCGAGAGGCGCGGGGCAGGGAGTCGGG